AGACTATAGACCTAGACTATAGCTAGACTATAGACTAGACTATAGACTAGATATAGACTGACTATAGACTAGACTATAGACTAGACTATGAATAGACTATAAAATAGACTATAGAAACTAACTATAGACTAGACTATAGACTGACTATAGACTAGACTATAGACTAGACTATAGACTAGACTATAGACTAAGACTATAGACTAGACTATATACTAGACTATAGACTAGACTATAGACTAGACTATAGACTAGACTATAGACTATACTATAGACTAGCATAGCTAGACTATAGCTAGGACTATAAGACTAGACTATAGACAGACTAGACTATAGACTAGACTATAGACTAGACTATAGACTAGCTATTGACTAAACTATAGACTGGACTATAGACTAAACTATAGACTAGACTATAGACTAGACTATAGACTAGAATACAGACTAGACTATAGATTAGACTAGACTATACTATAGTGTAGTCTAGACTAAAGAGTAGACTAGACTACAGTGTACTCTATAGTCCAATCTATAGTCTGGGCTATAGTCACTATAGTCTCTACCATCTTACATCTCTCAATTTTATTTAAAAACTTTCATTACACAACATTTTAAAACACCTTTTAAAATGTTAAATAGTTTTTTCAACATTTTAGCGCCTTCGTATAATCTGCACAACGATCATACAAAGGAACTTAGACTGACTCTCTTTTCATAAACTTCCAAAACTAAGAATAAACAATATTCACTCAAGATTATCATTAGCCTATCTATTGTTGAGCCACAATAGAGAAGAATTGCATACAATAGTTTTTGAATACAATCAAGCAAAAAATAGAAACAAGGAGAATAATAGAAAGGAGAATAGTCAATGTTTTAGTTTCGAAACAAAAGCCATAACTGAAATGTAGAAAATCAAAAAGTCAAAATTTAAATCAAACACGCCTTATATGATCTTTATTCTATTGTCACTATTTTGACATGGACAATGTTTTACCAGACAAAGAACGAACGAAGCCTTTTGCAGGTAAATTGCATTATATTTTTCTTTTATTCACATTGTCCTTTGAGTAAATCAAACTCTCCCTCACTTTATATACAAATCTCTTTTGCCGCTAATTAGAATTTACTTACTCAGTTTATAATTCTCATACTAGAAAAAGTGAAAGAAGGCGTTACACGATCTTTAGGTAACCTGTAATTATCGCTTAAACCTTCTTTTGTATGAAAAGTATTTCATTTGAATTCGCACTATTGTTTGTGATACGAAATTTCGGTAGTAAACTAAATGTTCTCTTTCAAATCTATAGCGTTTTTGCGGTCGCGTGGCAATTTTGACATCATACAATCGATCAAGTTGAGATCACTCAGATCATTGCCGATATCATCTGTGTTAGCTATTGTTTTCCAGATGCTGTTTGCTCTACATTCTTTTATTGTTTTGTCTATTGAAAATTGCGTGTGAAATATATAATTCGTAGTCATTTGTATATTTTAGTTATGGTTGGCGTTAGAATGTCTGTTGCTAGCTATGGATACAAAGGAATTCCTAGGAATTTTGTTTAGCTAAAAAAAAGTAGCGAAATATTTAATTGAGCGGCATTTTGTAAGGTTAAGTCAAGTTAATAATAAAACTGAAAATAATTTAAGGATATTCTACAATTTAAATATCTATGTTAAATTAACTAGTTCAAAAACGGGTCTAAACGGAATCAATTCTCATCTTGAACAGCAATCTTGGAACAAGTGACCCGACATTATTTCTGGAACTCGTTCTGTGGAAAATGGTTGTGATCTAAAGTTCTTCTAAAGAGCTTTCAAGGAAACAATTGATAAAATTAAAATTATTGCAGCAGTCTGGCAACAGTGGTAATATAATTTTTTTTAATAGTTATGTTCAATTATAGCTTAACCATTGACTTTATTTTCATTCATTTCAATTAAGTATTTTCGAAGTTATATAATTTTAAAGAAGAATACCTTAATAAAATTACAATAATTTAAACAGTCTGGCAACACTGGTAAAATAAATAAAATTATAGCTTAACGTTAGAGTCTAGTTGTACTCAATGTTCGTTGAAACAACAATTTAAAGAATGCCTTCATAAAATTACAATTAATTCAGCAGTCTGGCAACAATGGTAATATAATTTTTCTTAAAATAATTATATTCAATTATAGCTTTACCATTGACTTTATTTTCATTCAGTTCGATTAAGTATTTTCGAAGTTATAGCGATTTAAAGAATCCTTCATAAAATTACAATAATTTAAGCAGTCTGGCAACACTGGTGAAATAAGTTATCATTAAATAACTGGATTAGATTATAGCCTAACGATGGAATGCAGTTTCATGAAATTCGATTAAGTATTTTCGGAGTTACAGCTATTTAAAGAAAACCTTTTTAAATAACTATTATTTTGACAGTATGGCAACACTGGTTAAAAAGTTTTCATAAAATAACTAGCTTTAAATGTAGCCCAACGATTAACTCTAGTTTCGTGAAATTCGATTAAATATTTTCGTAGTTATAGCAATTTAAGTAATAAATCATTCAGTTCGATTAAGTATTTTCGAAGTTATAGCGATTTAAAGGATCCTTCATAAAATTACAATAATTTAAGCAGTCTGGCAACACTGGTGAAATAAGTTATCATTAAATAACTGGATTAGATTATAGCCTAACGATTGAATGCAGTTTCATGAAATTCGATTAAGTATTTTCGGAGTTATAGCTATTTAAAGAAAACCTTTTTAAATAACAATTATTTTGACAGTATGGCAACACTGGTTAAAAAGTTTTCATAAAATAACTAGCTTTAAATGTAGCCCAACGATTAACTCTAGTTTCATGAAATTCGATTAAATATTTTCATAGTTATAGCAATTTAAGTAATACCTTTGTTAAATTACAATTATTTTGACAGTATGGCAACACTGGTTAAAAAAGTTTTCATAAAATAACTAGCATTAAATATATCCTAACGATTGACTATAATTTTACTCAATTTTTTTAAGAAATTTGGGAGTTATACTAAATTAAAAAATCCTTAATATAATCAAAAATATTCAACAGTCTGGCAATACTGGTGAAATAAGTTTTCGTAAAATAACTTGCCTAAATTGTAGTCTAACGATTGAATCTAGTTTCATTCAATTCCAATAAATATTTTCAAAGTTATAGCAATTTAAAGAATACCTTAATTTGACAAATTTTCCAAAACACGACAACCCTGTTACAACATGGTAACAGCGCCATCTATTGGTTGGGTACATTGTTTTTGAGCAATGTGAAATTTGTGTACCTCAAATACATATTTTCAAAACGTTATAACACAACAACTAGTGGACCGATTTTTATGAACTTAGTATAGTCTGGTAGGGGGTAAATTAAAGAATATAAAAATTTAACTTTCCAGAGTTGCCACCTTGTTAAAAGTGGCAAAATATATCGAAATAAAATTAATTAACTATTTTTTCCAAAAAAAAATAACGTGGTAACCCTGGTAAATTAAATTTTAGTAATCTTGAATTCAATACCTACATGACCCTTCTTACTTAATTGAAATCGTATCAGTAGTTTTTGTGTTATAACGTTTTGAAAATATGTATCGTTGCGCAACTTTGTATTTTTTGCTAAAAAACCATGTACAGATGTTTATTTTTAAAACGTTATAACACAAAAACTACTGAAACGATTTCTATCAAATTTATATGGTTTTATAGAGAATATATCCAAGATTACAAAAATTATTTTTCCAGAGTTACCACCTTGTAGAAAATTGTCAAAATATATAGAAATAAAATCAATCATTATTTTTCTCAAAAATAATGAGGTGGCAACCCTGGAAAATTAAATTTTTATAATCTTGAATTTAATCCCTACAAGACCCTATTAACTTCATCGAGATCGGTTCAGTAGTTTTTGTGCTATAACGTTTTGAAAATTTGTATTCGTTAGACAATTTTTTCGCATTGCTTAAAAACCATATAGCCAAACAATAGATGGCGTTGTTACCATGTCGTAACAGGGTTATCGTGTTTTGGAAAATTGAACAAACTTAGGTATTCTTAAAATTTCTATAAATCCCAAAATCCTTCATTGATTTAAGTAAAACCAGTGTCCATCGTTAGCCTTTAATTTAAGAAAAGTGTTTTATGAAAAATTATTTTACCAGCGTTGCCAGATTTTCTAAATTATGCTAGCTTTTGTAAGGTTGCTTTAAATTGCTATAACTCCAAAAGTACTGGAATGTTTTGATTAAAATTAGAATCAAATGTGAGCCTTTAATTTAAGCGAATGATTTTATGAAAACTTTTTTTACCAGTGTTGCCAGACATTCTAAATTATGTTAGTTTTTATAGAGATGTTTTGAATTGATATTACTCCAAAAGTACTGGGATGATTTAATTAAAATTAGAATCATTCGTTAGGTTTTAATTTCAACTTTTTGTTTTGTGAAATATTATTTTACCAATGTTAACAGACTTTTTTGAAATACGAAACTTTTTATTAAGTATCTTTAAATTGCTATTAGGACAAAAGTGCTGCAATGATTAGATTGAAATGAGTGTCAATTAAAAGGTGCAGAAGAGGGCAACGTGTTATTTGAAAAATGAAATAATAAAACTACCTTTTAATGATGCTTTGATTAAGATTTTTATTTAAAATTTATTTATTTTATATGTGATGATCACAAATAAGTGTAATATTTTTACTTTCTTTTAACATGCTAAAAATCACATACATATATGTATATTTAAAATTAAAATTTCACAATTTGAGAGCATAATTTTGTTATAAAATTAATTACAATAATTATAAATAAATATGTATAAAGAGTTTTAAAACATGTAAAATTAATCCCTAGTTTTATGTTCAACTTAAAATAAACAGAATGTTTTATTAAAATAAAAAGAAAACTCAAAAACATTTTCTGAAAGCTTATTTGTATATGTTATCTTCCATAATAAAAAAATTATTTAATACACAATGTTTTAGGTTTTTTTTTTTTCTTTACAAAATGTTAAACATTTCTTTTTGTTTTGGTCGATAATAGTTCATTTTAAGTTTCTTTTGGAATTGTTTACAATTGTGATATGATCAATAAAGTTACTATAAATATGTATGTAAACTGAGTTTTATTATATGTATTCTCAAAAAGTATTAGTTATAAAAAATATAATATACATTTTATTTAAAACAGTTCTCTATATATGTAAATGGTAAAAGTAAAAAATGTATAAACACAACAAGTATAGATGCATAACATTCATACAAAATTAATAAATATTATTACCAATTTGTAAAAAAATAAAACATTTAAAGCCTTTAAAAAATAACTTCTAAGCACAGCGCATAACGAATCAATGAATCATAACTTGTTGTTTTTATACATTGCCAAAAAAAAAAATCTACTTAAATATGTTTAATTTTTAATTAATAAATTTTTCTATTTAATTTGTTTTACCTTAAAAATGTTGCATAAATTATTTATAACACAAAAATGCTGATTATTTAATACCAATCAAAAGTTGTTTTTTTTTTATAAAACAGTGTCATCTGTTAGGACTTTTTTCGAACTTAAAAAGTATGTAAACAATTATTAATTTCAGTGCAAATTATACTTTAAAGTTCTCAAATTTAAATCCTTAAAATGTGGTTTATTTTACAATAATGTTGCTGTTTTATAAAAGATTTGTTTTGTAGTCGTAGTCATGTATGCTCTTAAAGAGTAGTGGAAGTTACGGTGCTTACACCATGTACTAAAATTGTGGGTGGTAATTCGGCTGTTAATTCAGTTAACAATTCCATATAACGTACACTACGTTCCCCAAAGTCGGGCGTGTTGATTTGTGGTGGTGCTGCTAGATATATAAATGATAAGGCTGTTTGATCGGAACGTTCACGTATAATTTGATTGGCTCTGAAAATAGAAATGCACAATGGGTTATTGGCTATAGTTTTTAATTTAAACGATGTTATATACATTAGCACAAATGCTTTAAATGTTGGTTTTACATTGACCAAACTAACTACATATATATTAAAAAAAAAATTAAAAATTAATAACTTACCTTTGCATATACAACAATGAACGATTAAGATTATCTTCAGTTACCGCTTCTGTAACAGATTCAGCATGTTGTGTAAATTGTTTGAGAATACGAGAGTGACGAGTAAATTCCGTATCACGAGCCCATTCTTGAATCTGTATAAATTTACATAAATTTAAACAATTATAATTTACTTTTAAGAATACAAAACTTCTTTAATTACCTCTATAATATCAGCATTTATTCTTAACGATTTAAGACTTTGTTCTAATTTCATTTTAGAGAAAATTTCAATCTGAGGCATATTAGGATCTTGTGTTTCAAATGTTGTGGTATTCGAAGTATTATTAGTTTCACACAAGAAAACACGTAAACGTAAATGACTCCATTTTGCCAACATAATAACCGACAATTGCATCATAAATAAGGAGACAACATCGAAGGGATCTTCGGTTTTGGGATTGAAAACATTGATGGGCCAAACATCTATATATTTAACGTGTTTGCTTCTGTAAAATTATATTTTTACTATGAAATAAAATTGATTAAATAAAGGTTATTAGTTAAAAAACTTACTTGGCTATAAAATGTTTGTCCAGACGATGGAAATGACGACATAAACATAAATTCTTTTTCATGCGCAAAATATCACTGATAATGGCCACATATTCGGTAACATCAATATGTTTCTCCTCGCCATCACGTCGTATGGGGAAATTTTGCATTTCCCCTGAAGTGAAACCATCAGTTTTATAGGGTGAGGTGGAGCTAAGAAAAAATATTTTATTTATTAATTATTATTTTTAAATAATAATAAATAGTTGTGTCTGATATTTACGTTTCAAAGAAATCTTTTGGTGCTTCATTATCATAGAAACCCAATACAATAGTATTTGGTTTCATGGCTCCTATGCCAGATAAACGTATTAAATGTTGAACACCTTCACGCACCGAATTAGCTATTGTTGTTTCGGCAAAAGCCTTAACATGCATATGATCGACAAATGATAACCATTGTTTGTTTTCCTCTGAAGTGGGATCTTCCAAATCGGTAGTATTGCCAATTTTAACATGACCTATTATATACAGACCACTCTTTTTCATATCATTAACAAAATCAACCAAAGGACAACACGAACGAGGCGAGGATACCAGCAGAAGCATTTGGGGACGCCAAAATTTAACATGATCTTTACGAGGATCCAACATAAGTAGATATTTGCGTACCTTGCATAAGAAATTGTTTGTTAATAATTAAATCTATAATTAACTTATTCCCTCTCACCTGATGGAACATTAAAGCTTGTGATATAGAGCCCCATTGGGCTGATTGTGTGGCTGGCGAGAATAGATGTAAAGCAATAACCAGCAATAAACACAATATAATACTTGAGGAGGCATAAATAGGATTGATTACAAACATCATAACCAAGGTGCCGATCAAACCAAAAAGACATGTATGCCAGGTGAAATATTTAAATAGCGGACGGAAATTAGGTGCTCCTGTCAACTCAATACCCAAGCAGGCTAAATTTGTGGCCAAATACGAAAGCATAAATAATACCGAATTGATTTGGGCAATTGTATTCAAGGAGCCAATCAATAAAATACACTCCACTAAAACCCAACTGGTCATAACTGCCGCTATAGGGTTTCCCTTCCAGGTGCCTTTAATAACAAAATTTGTCAGCGGACCAAATACTTGATCTTTCGATAAAGCCTCCAAAATGCGACTCGAACCAATAAGATTACTTAAACCGGTAGAAAAGGTGGCGGTTAAAATACCAATGGCAGTAAATGGTGGCCAGAAATTGACATACATTAGGAAAAGATAATTATTTCTCATTGTTTCGTGTGGGGTTGTGAATGCCATTAAGAATGAAAGTATGACATATGCAACAAATGTAAATGCCACAGCAGATAATGTACCCAAGGGTATACTCTTCGAAGGACTCTTCAATTCACCGGACATATTTGCACCGGCCATAATACCGGTAACACCAGCAAACAATACACCAAATGTGGTAGCAAAATCTACCATTTTTCCCTTGGAAGTATAATCAGGACCATAACTTTCGTATAAATTACTTTTTAAAGTTTCGGCACTTAAGCCAGTATATTCCAAAAAGGGTGTAATAGTTTTATTTATTACAGTATTCTCATCAGGAACAGGAACCTGTAAATAAAAATATTAGATTTTAAGTTGCAATAATGTTCTAACTGAGAAAATAGCAAAAATGTGTGATCGGAAGAAATTATTCTTAAGGACTATGGAACAGTCTATAGTCTGGAGAACATTCTTTAGTCTCGACTATAGAACAGAATATAGTCTGGACTATAGAAAATTATATAGTCTGGACTATAGAACAGTCTATAGCCTACACTATAAACCAGTCTGGACTATAAACCAGTTTATACTTTGGACTATGGAATAGTCTGGACTATAGATAGAATAGTCTATAGCCTGGACTATAAACCAGTTTATAATCTGGACTATGAAATAGTCTGGACTATAGAATCTATAGTCTGGACTAGAATCGTCTATAGTCTGGACTAGTCTATAGTCTGGATTATAGAAAAGTCTATAGTCTGGACTATAGAACGGTCTTTAGTCTGGATTATAGAACGGTCTATAGTCTGGATTATAGAAAAGTTTTTAGTCTGGACTATAGAAAGCCTGGGCTATAGAAACGACTATAGTCTGGATTATGGAAAAGTCTATAGTCTGGACTATTATAGAAAAGTCTATAGTCTGGACTATAAAAAAGTCTATAGACTGGACTATAGAAAAGTCTATAGACTAGACTATAGTCTGGACTATAGAACAGTCTATAGTCTGGACTTTAGAAAAGTCTAGTCTGGACTATAGAAAAATCTATAGACTGGACTATAGTAAATTCTGCAGTATGGACTATAGAACAGTCTTTAGTCTGGACTATAGAAAAGTATAGAGTCTGGACTATAAAACTATAGTAAATTCTACAGTCTGGACTATAGTAAAGTCTACAGTCTGGACTATAGTAAAGTCTACAGTCTGGACTATAGAAAAGTCTATAGTCTGGACTATAGAACAGTCTATAGTCTGGACTACAGAATAATCCATAGTCTGGACTACAGAAAGGCCTATATATAGTCTGGACTATAGAAAAGTCTAAAGTCTGGACTATAAACCTATAGAAAAGTCTATAGTCTGGACTATAGAAAAGTCTAAAGTCTGGACTATAAACCTTTAGAAAAGTCTATAGTCACAGATATACGAATTTTAATTTTAATTTATATGGGAGGTGCAACGCCCGTTATTGCTAGTTCAACAATTTATTCCAAATGCTCATAAAGGAATGCTTTCCTAGATATATGAATTTTTGCATTTAATTCATATGGGAAGTGCCACGCCCCCTATTTGTAATCCTCCCAAATGTTCACATGGATGAAAAGTTGTTCGTGCAAAATTTAAGTATTCTAACTCTAATAATTTCCCAGATATACAACTTTGTGTTTAATTCATATGAGGGGTGCCACACCCCTTATTGCTAGTCCACCAATTTATTCCCGAAATGTTAACATAAATGACAAAGTTATTCGTGCAAAATTTGAGGATTCTAGCTCCAATGACGTCCCACATAAATATATTAGAATTTTTTGTATTTAATTCATATGAGAGGTGCCATCCCCTCTGTTGCTAATTCGCCTATTTATTACCTAAATGTTCACATGTGTGACAAAGTTGTTCGTGCAAAATTTAAGAATTCTAGATCTAAGCGTTTTCCAGATATTCACATTATTTTATTTAATTCATATGGGAGGTGTCACGCCCCCTATTTCTAGTCCTCCCATTCTTCCTTCAAATTGTTTATATGGGATTTTAATGTTGCCCGTACAAACTTTTAGAATTCTAGCTTTTATACTTTCCCAGATATACGATTTTTTTATTTTATTCATATGGGAGGTGCCACGCCCCTATTTCTAATCCGCCAATTTATTACCCAAATGTTCACATGGATGACAAATTTGTTAGTTGAAAATTAGAAGATTCTAGCTTTAAGTGTTTCCTAGATATACAAATTTTTGTATTTAATTCATATGGGAGGTGCCACGCCCCCTAATGCTAGTCCTCCCATTTTTCTTAAAATATTCATATGGCACCTCCCCCACTTGCAATTTAAAAATAAAAAGTAGCCTATTGTTCCTTCCAGATATATAGGAATATACAGTGAAAATTTCAAGAAGATCGCTTCAGTGCCTACAAGGTACAAACAAATAAACAAACATACACTGATTTTTATATACAAATATAGATTTTTGGTATTAAAATTCCTTTCATATTAATACATATATTTTAACAAATCCATGTTAAAAAGAAATGTGATTCATAACGCATTTGACAATGATCTGTAACTAAAGTCAAGATAATTAAAATTTCGATAAAAATACATATTTTAATACTCTGCTTTAAAAGGTGATATTTAATAAAAAAAGAAAAACTTTTTTTTAACAATGACGACACCCTAGATAAAAAAATGTGTTGCTCATAATTGTAACAATATTGTGTATATAATTGGAAAATGATTTAAAACCCCCTAAACACAAGTAAAACAAAAAAAAACATTTGAAATTGAATGCACATTAAATAATATCAAAAATAAAATTACACAATTATTCACTACGTTCCGGAAAAAGTATTAATATATAAAACACTTTTTCTTTATATAAATGTTATGATAAGCTACTGGACATTTTTGTTTAATTATTTATAACAAATAAATGATAGCAAAACCAATACAACAAATACGTTAAATAATCATAATTTGTAAATTGTTTATAAAATTACAGAACAAAATAAAAAAAACAATAATTTTCCAATAAATTAACACTTACCTTGTCATTGTTGGGACCCTCAGCCAAAAAACTTATATAAGTGGCCAATAAACAGACCGTGACAATACCCAAAATTAATACAGAAGTTTTGGCAAATAATGAAGCGCCTATTAGACACACCAACAGCATTAGTGTATTAATTACGGTACAAAATAGAAAACGCCACCAAGTACCATCCGGTAGAAGTCCTTCAGCGGATGCAAAATAACCACCGGGACCAAAATTATTCATAATACCTTCAACACAACCGGAAATAGCCATGGCACAGCCCACAACATTGGCCAAAAAGAATAGGGTGCCAATAGAACCACCAAATTCCAGACCCAATGTTCGACTTATCATAACTTAAAACGAGAAAAAGTATTACAGTTAAATATTGGATATGTTATATCGGAAATTTTTACAAAACTTACAATATACGCCGCCTCCTTCAACAGCACCATTAGTAGAAATTGCACATACTGATGCCACAGTAAATAATAAGATTACATAGGCAATAACAAATTGTAAGAGGGTAACATATAAACCAGCATTACCAACAATAAAGCCTGAAAGTATATTGAAAAAATTATATGTATATAATAATTTTAATAAATCTCTATTATTATAAAGTTTAATTGTTTATTTCTTAAAGCTTTTGTATAGTTTAACATTTAAAACGCAAATATGTATTTACGTCATATTAATTCACACCTTAAATTTCGGATGTTTTTAATCGTTTAAATATATTTTCAGTCTATTATTTAAATTTGCCAATTTTAAGTGTGTCTATAATCTGGACTATATAGGCAGGTCTATAGAACATTCTGTATTCTGGACTATAGAACAGTCTATAGGCTGGACTATAAAACAATCTATAGGCTGGATTATAGAACAGTATATAGGCTGGACTATAGAACAGTCTATAGGCTGGACTATAGAACAGTCTATAGGCTGGACTATAGAACAGTCTATAGGCTGGACTATAGAACAGTCTATAGGCTGGACTATAGAACAGTCTATAGGCTGGACTATAGAACAGTCTATAGGCTGGACTATAGAACAGTCTATAGGCTGGACTATAGAACAGTCTATAGGCTGGAATATAGATCAGTCTATAGGCTGGACTATAGAACAGTCTATAGGCTGGACTATAGAACAGTCTATAGGCTGGACTATAGAACAGTCTTTGGGCTGGACTATAGAACAGTCTATAGGTCGGACTATAGAACAGTCTATAGGCTGGACTATGGAACAGTCTATAGGCTGGACTATAGAACAGTCTATAGGCTGGACTATAGAACAGTCTATAGGCTGGACTATAGAACAGTCTATAGGCTGGACTATAGAACAGTCTATAGACTGGACTATGGAACAGTCTATAGGCTGGACTATAGAACAGTCTATAGGCTGGACTATAGAACAGTCTATTGGCTGGACTATAGAACAGTCTATAGGCTGGACTATAGAACAGTCTTTAGGCTGGACTATAGAACAGTCTATAGGTCGGACTATAGAACAGTCTATAGGCTGGACTATGGAACAGTCTATAGGCTGGACTATAGAACACTCTATAGGCTGGACTATAGAACAGTCTATAGGCTGGACTATAGTATAGAACAGTCTATAGGCTGGACTATAGAACAGTCTATAGGCTGGACTATAGAACAGTCTATAGGCTGGACTATAGAACAGTCTATAGGCTGGACTATAGAACAGTCTATAGGCTGGACTATAGAACAGTCTATAGGCTGGACTATAGAACAGTCTATAGGCTGGACTATAGAACAGTCTATAGGCTGGACTATAGAACAGTCTATAGGCTGGACTATAGAACAGTCTATAGGCTGGACTATAGAACAGTCTATAGGCTGGACTATAGAACAGTCTATAGGCTGGACTATAGAACAGTCTATAGGCTGGACTATAGAACAGTCTATAGGCTGGACTATAGAACAGTCTATAGGCTGGACTATAGAACAGTCTATAGGCTGGACTATAGAACAGTCTATAGACTGGACTATAGAACAGTCTATAGGCTGGACTATAGAACAGTCTACAGGCTGTACTATAGAACAGTCTACAGGCTGGACTATAGAACAGTCTACAGGCTGGACTATAGAACAGTCTATAGGCTGGACTATAGAATAGTCTATAGGCTGGACTATAGAACAGTCTATAGGCTGGACTATAGAACAGTCTATAGGCTGGACTATAGAACAGTCTATAGGCTGGACTATAGAACAGTCTATAGGCTGGACTATAGAACAGTCTATAGGCTGGACTATAGAACAGTCTATAGGCTGGACTATAGAACAGTCTATAGGCTGGACTATAGAACAGTCTATAGGCTGGACTATAGAACAGTCTATAGGCTGGACTATAGAACAGTCTATAGGCTGGACTATAGAACAGTCTATAGGCTGGACTATAGAACAGTCTATAGGCATAGTCTATGGAACAGTCTATAGCATGGTCTATGGAACAGTCTATTATCTGGTCTATAGAACAGAACAATCTGTAGTCTAGACTATAGAACAGTATGCAGCCTACACTATAGAATAGTATGTAGCCTAGCCTAGACTATAGATCAATCTATTATCTGGTCAATAGAACTGTCCATATTCTGGACTATAAAACAGTCTATAAGCTGGACGATAGTCTAGACTATACATCTGTCCATAGTCTTGGCTACAGAAAAGTTTATAAGTCTTGGCTACAGAACAGGTTATAGGCCGGACTATCTTCCAATGAACCAAAAATATTAAATGATTCCCAAGTCGAAGAATTTATTTGTATAAAATAACTTCCAATGAAATAAATTCCAACAGAAGTGAAATAACTCCCAACTCCTTAACAATTTGGGTTTTAAGAAAATTGCATTATTAGTTTTTTTTTTAAGTTTTTCCTCCTGATAATAATTTTATATCTTTAATTTGTTTATAGTGTTATTTATACAAATGTACTTATTTAATCCTATAATGTACTACATGCAGATGATTCAGTTTATATTTTTAAATACATATTTATTTAGGTTAATAATAACAGAAAATAAACATCCACAAATTTTCATAGTTATTTTATTTTATTCATTAAATTACTACACTTATTAGATTTCATTTAAAATGAGTAGTAAGTAGTTACTATTAATTATTTTGCGTTGTTTTTGTTTTGATGGAAATTCAATACATACAAAGAATCAATGAAGCCGCGAAGACGACTCATTTATGGCGACATTATTTACTATCTAAATAGTAGACAAATCAAACTATATACAATATAAATACTACCGAAAAACAAACATAATACCACCATCAATCATGAGAGTTCAAAAAAGAATGTTCGCCCAATTAGAAATACCTATAGAAAGTAAAAAGAAGTAAGGAAGTATAGTCGTCCATGAATGACCATATTATAGCGTTCAATAATATGTAGAGGAATTTTAAAGTTGAATTTCGAAAGTATCAACGTACCAATAATATAACTTAATGTAGGTATGTGAGCCTAGAGAAGAAGATAATCTTGGCGGCTTGGAAAACTTTAGGTAGACATTGAACTAGTCTCTGATTAATGTTATAAATAAAATTTGACACAATTGTACATATAATGATTTGTCCCCTTTTGGGACTGGATTTCCCTAAGAAAATTAGGTTTATTTTTGGGCGACAAATTACAACAAAAACAAATAATAAATAAAACTCAAAATCTTACTTACCAACACGTATAAATACCAAAGCACTAAACATGGACAAAGCTACGGGACTGAATACACCAGCAAAAGTGCCCAGTGTACGACCGCTACTTTCTGGATCCTGCATACCGAATTCTACATAACCATCAACACCATTTTGTGAACTTGTTCGTCTAGGACCACCGTTAGACGTACCGAAGAGAGTACCAAAAGAACGCATCATAGAGGAGGCTCCGCCGGAACGTTGAGCAGCTATGGGTGCTGTTTCCGGGTCACCATTAATACTGGTCTGAGAATTCATTGTATGGCTGGTTGTGGCTGCCTGATAGGACTTAAACCACCAAACAGCTGTGTTAGTTTATCTTCTTTGTTTTTTGTTTTATTTGTAACTAGTTCAATGTAGTTAAAATCCGTTCACTTTGTAGTTATTGTTGCTAAAAAAAAAAGCTCAAGACGCCCACAAATAACAATAAATATTAAATTGTATGTTGATTATATGGATGACGACAACACTGATTTTTAAATACCAAATGAAGATGCTTAAACAATAATGTAGACAGTTCAGTTTTTTTATTGTTTTTTACTTTTTTTATATTCAACGAGTTAAAATGTAATTCAGCATGTAATTTAACTTAAACCGAAGAGAAAGTTTAAATAATTATATTCGGTAAAAACATCTCGTCGTCTGTTTTAATCTAGGTTTTCCACTAGTAGCACAATAGTTAATGTTCTAATTTTCACACAAAAATTAATAGTGTATTGTTTTTTTTCGTATTATGTTTTCACAATATACAATTTTTACTTTTTGTTCACAAATGCGTCATCCGTTAAAAGGGGTTTTCGTGTGAGTACTGTAAACACCAACAAATTCAAAGTAAATACAAAAATACACTCCACAAACGATCTCCAATAAGAAACTAAAGAAATTTGCAATTTGTTTGGGGAAATAATGGAGTATATAAATTAGGTGATAACGTAAGCACAACTGATTTTTGTTTACATTTCAAGCTAATGTCAAAATTTGTATAGAAAAAATATTTCTCTCCTGAAAAATTATTGTAAATAGTGTCAAACACTATATGAAAAAAATGTATACAAAAACATTAGTTCCCCAATAATGCCACCTTATAAATACGCTTTGCATATGTCATTACTATCAGTGATGAGATTTTACAAATTATATTAAGTATTGCAAAGGTTTTAAAAAAAGTACCAACGAACAATGAAGTGGCAAATATTTCCATAATTATACACAGACCATGGCATAATAAAGTAAGGTGACTGCAATAAAGCAGCTGATTATTTTTTTATTTTTGTGTAGAGTATGAATAATATCAAAAGTTGTTATTGTTTATATGTTAAGCATGTTATTTGTTTACATTTCTCTTGTCATTTTTAACATTAGTCTGATTCTAGTACAAAATACATGTTTTTGTATTGTTGTAGTGATGCAGTCACCTGTCTAAGTGTGCCCTGACATAAAAAGACACAGACATATAAATCGGTCCTGCACTTTTGCCGTATAAAAAGCATTTTATACTACAATACGTTGCCTTATTATTAAGGCCCAAATAGACTACACAAGCGGCTTATCAAACATACTTTTTTCATTCGCACACCCACTACACAAACATTGCTCGTACAAACACCGATTTTTTCACTTTTTTGTGGACTTTCAAAGATACAGATCTCAATTTTTCTTAAAAATGTAAATTTTTTGAAAAATTTGTTATTGATGAATATAAACCATACAAATGGTTTGTCAAAAATTCAATATGTTTGTGTAAAAATCAAAATTTTTTAATTTTTGTACAAACAAACAGCAAGCATTTGTACAAACACGAAACACCCTCCTACACTACACAACAGGCTTGCACAAACGTAAAATATTGGTATGTTTGTCAAGCCGCTTGTGTAGTCTATTTGGGCCTTTAGCGTTTAGTTATTTATTATAAAATGGATTTGTCGAAATGTATTTTTTATGTACCTATTATTTTTAACAAATTTAATTAATTTGCTTAATTTTAACGGTTTATAAGAAAATAAATGTGAATATCCAACAGAAAATGCCAAAAACAGTACCAAGCAGACCGAAGCATGAAAATATTTAAATTGCGCCCCCAGTTAACATCACTGATTAAACAGTAAACATATGGCAAAAGTATTGCCATATTATTTGAAACATATATTAAAAACCATTAATCTTTTAAAAAATCAATAAATTCATACAATTATAAATTGCCTTTTACACATAAAAACCATTATTAGTCTATATATTTAAAAATGAAATTATTTATAAAATATTAAAAAATTAAATCAACACATCTCCAAACTTGGCATCACTTTTATAATTGCTAAACAATAGGGTAGGGTTCTATAAATCGACTGTCGAAAAATCTAACGATGGACTTTTTGTCGAAAAGTCGACAATTTTGTACCAAAAAGTCGATAACTCGACTGTCGTCTATGAAAAAAGTAGAAAAGTCGACTTTGTAAATAAAAGTAAAAAAATTTCGAAAAACATTATATTTTTGCTTCAAGTATGAAAAAAAATATTTGCTGTGTTTTTAATATATGTAATAACTTATTTTCATTCGAATTGAAATTTTCTACATGTACAATTTTTATATTTCGTCGAAAAGTCGACGTTTTGTTTCAACTATAGAACACTACTAAACAATTGGGCAACTCTTTGTTTATATTGTTTTTCTTTCACTGACAAACGTTTTATTCTATCGAAGAAATAAAACATTTTGTATTACCAAGAAAACAAATAAAAAGTCTGTAAATATTAAAAAAAGCTAATAAATGGTTAATGACAGAAAACGTCGTTCACGTTCCCGCGAGCGTCACATTGATAAAGAACGCGATAGAGACCGTGAGCGTGCAAGGGATTCCCGCGGAGTTGGTGGAGACTATGATCGTCGTGCAGCCAGACGCACCCGTTCACGTTCCAAAGAACGCTCCGGTCGTGAACGCTCACCAGAACGTTCGCAAAATCGTCATCGTGAACGCAGTCGCGAAAGGTCCCGCTCTAAGGAACGGATACGTGATTCTGATGCCTCGAAATATAAAGATAAGAGACGTGATGCTGAGGAAGACCTAAAGGCAAGAGATGAAAAACATTCGTTGAAATTGGAGCAAAAGCTGAAAAAGGAAAAAGAGTTAAAAACCGAAGATGAGGAACTGCTGGAGGAGAATCGCAAGATTAAAAAATCAGAGCCATTATCGTTGGAAGAATTGCTGGAAAAGAAGAAACGAGAAGAGGAAGCACGTGCCAAACCGGTGTTTTTGACGAAAGAGCAAAGAGCTGCCGAAGCTTTGAAGAGACGTCAAGAGGAAGTGGCCGCTATGAGAGCAGCTCAAAGTGGGGTACGTGTGGGCATATCGGCATCGATATCCGGCATAGCTACCGCCTCCAGCAGTGGCATTGATAATAGTTTTAGTGTATCGGCGAAAAGGCCAGAACTAAAAGCTGAACGGCGACCAGAGGGTCGTGAAAGAGATGGCCGTGATAGAGATCGTGAGCGTGATTTTGATCGTAGGGATCGAGGCGGTGATGACAGAAATCGTGGTGGAGCCGGTGATAGGGATAGAGAAATCAAGAGGGTGGATGATCTCTCTAACAAAGATAAAGAAAAAGAGTTAGAAGCCATAAGAGAACGTTATTTGGGTATAGTAAAGAAAAAGCGTAGAGTACGACGTTTAAATGATCGCAAATTTGTGTTTGACTGGGATGCTGCCGAAGATACATCTGTGGATTATAATAATCTCTACAAAGAACGTCATCATGTACAATTCTTTGGCCGTGGCAATGTAGCTGGTATCGATATAAAGGAACAAAAACGTACTCAAAGTAAATTTTACGGTGATCTTCTGGAAAAGCGGCGTACGGAGGCAGAAAAAGAACAGGAAAAGGTTCGCCTTAAGAAGGTGAAACGTAAGGAAGACAAACAAAAATGGGATGATCGTCATTGGTCGGAAAAGGATGTGGATGAAATGACTGAACGTGATTGGCGTATATTTCGCGAAGATTACAATATTACCATTAAGGGTGGTAAAATACCCAATCCCATACGCAGTTGGAAAGAATCCGGATTTCCGAAGGAGATTTTGGACATTATCGATCGTGTTGGCTACAAAGAACCCACACCCATTCAAAGGCAAGCCATACCAATTGGTTTGCAAAATCGTGACATTATTGGTGTAGCTGAAACGGGTTCGGGTAAGACGTTGGCCTTCCTTATACCTTTACTCTCATGGATCCAGTCCTTGCCGAAAATTGAACGTCTAGAAGATGTCGATCAAGGCCCGTATGCCATAATTATGGCTCCAACACGTGAATTGGCTCAACAAATCGAAGAAGAAACTACTAAATTTGGTCAGCCACTGGGAATTCGTACCGTGGTAGTTGTTGGTGGTCTTTCACGTGAAGAACAAGGTTTTCGCTTGCGTTTGGGTTGTGAAATTGTCATTGCGACTCCGGGTCGTCTGATTGATGTTTTGGAAAATCGTTATTTGGTATTGAATCAGTGTACATATATAGTATTGGATGAAGCAGATCGTATGATTGATATGGGTTTCGAACCAGATGTACAGAAAATCTTGGAATATATGCCGGTGACAAATTTAAAGCCAGACACAGAAGAGGCTGAAGATGCCAGCAAATTGATGGAAAACTTTTATTCGAAAAAGAAATACAGGTGAGATATTAAATCTTAGTAAATAATAAAATGCTTTAAATTGCAATTTGTTTACAGACAAACTGTGATGTTTACAGCTACTATGCCACCTGCGGTTGAACGTCTGGCACGTACCTATTTACGACGTCCTGCTACCGTTTACATTGGTTCTGTGGGCAAACCTACAGAACGTACCGAACAAATTGTCTACATGATGGGCGAAAATGACAAACGCAAGAAACTTATGGAGATTCTCTCACGTGGCATTGATCCTCCAGTAATTATTTTCGTCAACCAGAAAAAAGGTGCCGATGTTTTGGCTAAGGGTCTGGAGAAATTGGGCTACAATGCTTGTACACTTCATGGTGGCAAAGGACAGGAGCAGCGTGAATATGCTTTGGCTGCCTTGAAATCCGGAGCGAAGGATATGCTGGTGGCCACCGATGTTGCTGGTAGAGGTATTGATATTAAAGATGTATCATTGGTTATTAACTATGACATGGCTAAAACTATTGAGGATTATACACATCGTATTGGTCGTACGGGCAGAGCTGGTAAAACTGGTTGTGCCATATCGTTTGTTACCAAAGATGACAGCCAATTGTTCTACGATCTTAAGCAATGTGTTATGGCAAGTCCGGTATCAGTATGTCCACCGGAACTTATGAATCATCCGGATGCCCAACATAAACCTGGCACAGTGGTTACGAAAAAACGTAGAGAGGAAAAGATTTTTGCTTAAAAGCTTCCAATTTAATTTGAATACAAGTGTAATCATTTAAAAGTATGTCCATAATAAATGGCAATAAATTTTGAAAGAAGTTTTTAGTATAACAAATTGTAAATTTATTTATTTTTCAATTCATCTCATTAATCTTAAAAAGAAAGCATTTCTGCTGTGTTTCGAATCGAAAGGTAAATATTTTTCATAAAAATTCAATATAACTTCTTCAATTTTAAAACCGAATTTTTGATATAAAACAACTGCAGGATTTGTGGCCGATACATGTAGCGTAATATCTTTCGTCATACAAGTCTATGATTGTTAAAAAATATGAAATTAATAAGTAATGGATATAATAATCTTGTACAAACCTGTATTAAATGATACAACATAAAGGTAGCTATGCCACTCCTTTGCCAACCCGGTCGTACTGCCATAAAAGAAATGTAGGCTTCATTAAAACCAACATCAGGTACTAGAAAACCACAGCCTATAACTAATTTTTTATACAAAGCTACTACACTGAAATCTGGATAACTTAAGCATTCAGACACTAGAAGTAATAAATAAGATAAATAGAAATTTAACTAGAGAGCCTATAGAGAGAAAGAAGAAAATTATGACTTACTATCAATTCCTGGCCAAAATACCGTTTGTAATAGAGCATTAACTGCTGCTATATGATTAGGCCGTACATAACAAAAATCTATAGGTGCTCGAGTCGGTGGTACGCGATTAACTTTGTATTGTAGTTCGCACATAAGCTATAAATTTCGAAAACAATATTAAATATCATTTGAATAATTAGGTGAATTTTATAATACCTTAAGAAATGGTGGACAACATTTTCTATCACGATAAATGAAAGGATGTAAAATACGCTGTGTGTAGGGAGATTCAAATAACTCATACTGTGAAGAACCCGCTATGCGAGCATAAAATGATTTTTTAGCATCCGAAGATGATAAGGAAATAAGCTAAGGAATAAGATAAAAGTTTAGCATTTCTTTTACAAAACATTGCAAAATGAACATACTCACTTGATAACGTTCTATAATTTTGTTTTTTTCAGACTTATGCGATCTTAGGCGTTGCTTATTGTTACTAACATAATCGTCTAGATTAAATATAGGTTTACCATGTTCTCGTTTCCATTCACGTATACATAGTTTACGATAAAATCTCCTAATGAAGGGTGGTATGTGAATTTTACACTTCTCTTCCAAATTAAAAATTTTACGTAATTTTTGCAGCAATTCTTTTTCTTCATATTCACTCATTAGGGTTAGACTTAAGGAAAAAATATAGATTATTATTACATGCAGTAATAAGTCTTTAAAAGAAAACTTACTCCATATTATTTGATGATACCGTTTTATCTTCTATTTCTTCTTCCATCATATCCTCCAGACGATTATCTATTAGCCAGGGCCATTGACGTTTAGGCTGTTTAGTAAAAAGGCTAGGTTTACAAGCACTTAATGTTGTACTTAAATTATCATCATCATCCGATGAATCTTCATTCATTTCATCAGCCATATTTGATCTAACACTATCCCGAAATTCGTTATCTGATGTTAGTTCCTGCTTAATTAATTTACCACTACTTTTATTGGGACTTGCAGCTCCTAACGAGGAGCAAGACTGATTTTCAGCGGTTAATTGTTGGAAATTTGTTACTTGTACAATACGTGGTTGATATTCTTCAGAATCTGATTCTTCATCTTCTTCGCCAGATTCTGGTTGTTCCTCTGTTTTTTCTTCTTTAAGTATAAGACTTTGAGTTGTAATAGATGTGGTAGTATTGTCCTCATCCAGCTCATTTGAAAATTCCGAATTGGTGTGAATAGAATTTTCAGTTTGACTAAAGTAATAATAGAATTGTAGTAATAGAGTTGTTTTGATATATAATTGCAAATTCTTAAAATAACATTAGAAATTGTGTAGAACTAAGGCAAATTTTTGCAAAAATTTTCTCTTTTATAAAATGTTTTCTTTCCCATAGAAAAATTTTTGCTAAATTTTCTTCTTTATAGAAAAATTTCGAGATAACCTCTTCACATAGATAATGTTCACTAAATTTTCATGCCAATAGAACATTTTTGCTAAATTTTCATCTTTATAAAGATTTCCATAAATTTTCTTTTTTATAGAAAACTAGCTATACCCAGTGTGCTTTGCTACCCTAAAAGCAATATAAATAAAAAATATTCTGCATAATTTTGAAGATTCTAACTGTAATGATTTCCAGAGATTCATTTTTTCCCAACGTTAATTAAGATTTTAATGTAATCGATGACAAATTAAAAAAAAAATATAATATTTTCCCAGATATACGAAATTTTGTATTTAATTCATATAGGGGGTGCCAAGACCCCTTTGAAAGTCCGCCCGTTATTCTCTAAATGTTCACATTAATGTCAAAGTGAAATTGTAGCTCTAATAGTTTCTCAGATATAATAATTTTCCTATTTAATTTATATGGGGGCTCCAAGCTCCCCATGACGAAAGCCCGCTCTTTTTTCTCCAAAATGTTCAGATGAATATTTAAGTTCTTAGTGCAAAATTTGAAGAATTTAGTTCTATTAGTTTCCCAGATAAACCAATTTTTGTTTTTTTATTAATATGGGAGGTGCTGCTCCCCTCATGGGTAGCCCGCCAATTTATTTCTCAAAATGTTTACATGGATGTTAAAGTTACTCGTGGAAATTTTTAATATTCTAACTATAATAGTTTCCAAAATAAACGAATTTTAGTATTTAATTTATATGGGAGGTGCCACGCCCCCTAATTCTAATCCGCCCACTTTTTGTCTTAAATAATTATATTGATACTAAAGTTGCTCCGACAAAATTTGAAGACTCTAACTATTATATTATCTCAGATACACTAATTTAATATTTTCTTAATATGGGCGTGGCACGTCGCCCACATGAAATTTCAACATAAAAAGTAGCCTATAGTTCCTTCCAGACATACAGGAAGAAACTGTGAAAATTTCAGGAAAATCGGTCCAGCCGTTTAGCAGTCTATAAAGCACAAACAAACAAACAAACATACATACATACATACATACAAACACACTTTCATTTTTATATATATAGATGTTCGATAAATTTCCATCCTTATAAACAATCTTTCGAAAAATTTTCTTAATTACAGATAACTTTCGATAAATATTTTTGCTTATAAATTTCAAAAAACTTCCTCCTTTAGAGAGAAAATTTTCGATAAATTTTCTTATTTATAAAATTGTTTTTATCGAAATTTTTGGACAAATTTTCTTTACAAAGCTTTTTCGATTAATTTTCATTCCTAAAAATTTTTTCTTATATTTTCTTTCTTGTACGTTTTCAAAAAAAATTTCTCCATTATAAAGAAAATTTTCGATAAATTTACATTTTTATCGAATTTTTTCGATAAATTTTAATTTTTATCGTATTATTTCTGTAATTTTTTTAAGAACATTAAAATATGTAATACTTACACTGGCTCCATATTATCCTGAAAATTTTTACCTATACCAGCTACTGGATTACTCAAAAAATTATTATTAAATTGTTGTTGTTGATGTTGTTGATCTAAGGGAAATGTTGAATTTGTAAAAAAGCTTTTCAGTTTTTCATTTAACAATACTTGTGTATTATAATCACTATACAAGTGACCATTTAAATCCATCGGTTCAGCTTTTATCATTGATGAATTATCGAAAAAGTTTGCATTATCATTATGTGCTTCAAGTAGCGGTAATATATCATTTTTACCAGCACTATCAACCAAAGGCTCTGGTGCTATATTCGGTAAAGTATTAAACATATTCAAATCATCGCTGGCTAAACTTTCAGCTAAGAAATCCATTAAACTGGATTGAACGGTATTCAGCGGCATAACTGGATCGTCGAGTGGTGGTGGCGCTAGAGCATTGGTGTTGTGTTGTTTATTTAATAATTCATCATCCAATATGTTTAGAGGTTTTGCTATTTTAGGCTTACGACCCATATAGGGACTGAAATATGAAAAAGTTAAAGTTTAGATTTTTTGTCTGTTAATTTTGAACTTACATAGTACGACTGCAAGAATCAGTAGGTACTAAATCATCATCGGAATCATGACGTTTAATACGTTTGGTATCATGTTCATTGGCCGAGGTATCACTGCCATAATTGTCATCTTGCTGTCTTTTATCTTGGCGCATTTGTTGACGTTTTAAACACTCTTGTTCATCTAAAAATAATACAAGCAAGCAAAATATTGAAAAAGCCAGATTACCACCTCTCCCACTCATTGGGTTATGGAGTGTACAGTGTATCAGTGTACATAACTATCTGCATCCCCATGAACACTGAGTCATGGAGAGCGTTTGAGAGCCGAAACAGGGGAAGGTTAGTTCTTAGTAACGCACTCATTGCACATTGAACAACTTACATAAATTGAAAATATCTTTTGGTGTTTTATTTGCGTGAGTTAATTTCCACCAGCCCGTTTCATCGAATAACTCCTGACCAGATGTAAAATATTTTGGACTATTATGTGATAAAGCACCCGAAATTGAACCTGTCCACTTTTTTCGTCGTTTACTACAATACGATTAAAATAAATTTAAAAACAGTTTTCCACAATTAACTACATTGCTCACATTGTTGGATCAAAGAGGTAATCCCAATTCTTATCTATAAAATTAACTATATGCGTTCGCCAATGAAAATAACCATGACGACTTAAGCCTTTCGATTTTATCGAAAGATTATACAAAGCCATTGTAATGACCAATAGCCAGGGCATTCGTTGACGTACAAATTTCTCCCGGACGACATTATCGACATCTGCACTGTTGCCGCCATATAAGCCTTTGGATGTCGATGGCGCATCAAATTGTAGTTGCATACATTTGGCACATGTGAAATCGAAGAAAACATCACCCAACAAATCACCCGGTGTACTGGCATGCCTCAGACATTTGATGTGCACATCACCGCCACAATTTCCACAATGTAGAAATCGTTCATCGTTTATGTCCAACGAGCAATAAGAACATTGTAATGTGGCCATTTATATTTTTAATATTTCTATTTACTATTCTCAAATAAATATTTTTGAATTTGTAGCAAAAATAAAAAACAAATTGTTTAACAACAATACACGCGTGTATAGAATAAAAATGCAAAAAGAATTAGTGAAATAATGTGGATCAGAGCCCTGCGCCGACAAATATTAACGCCGATGGTGGCTGACACTAAAAATGTCGGTGGCGGCTTAAAATCACCTGTAAGCCGCCAAATTTGGACTGGAGATTGGACTCCCACTAAATAGACCCACTAAGATGGAATTTTTGGAAATTCGAACGTTTAGTGGGTAAAAACGGGTAAATCCGGTAACCTCATATATATAAACAAAGAATAATAAGAAATTGGGGCTTGTCAGTTGGTACGTAAAGGAGTTGTCATTCGGTACCTAACTCTAAGTATGTATTGGTAGAATTTTTGTATTAGTATTGGAGCTCCAACCACTTTCACCACACTTTCCAAACATACATACTTGCATAAAATCGTACATAAAATTTTAGGAAAAATAAATAATATTTAAATTTCTACATTCGCAGATTTATTAATTTATTTTGCCTACATCTAATCAGTAAACATTTAATAAATATATTTTTCGGACTTAAAATCTCTTTTTTTGCAAAAAAATAAGTTTATTTTAAATAATTTTTTCATTTTCAATACCAAAATATACAACTTTGTTTTGTCAATTTTAATTTCAACACACAAAAATTAATTTTCAAAAAAATTAAAAAAATATTTTTTTAGTTTGTGAAAAATAAAAATATTTCGGATTGTTAAATGCGATAAAATTGTGTAAAAAATTAAAAAATAGTTATGTGTTTGTGAAAAAAACGTCGTTCAAGTCCTATTATCCCGGTATTTTCGCGAAAAAGTTTTGAAGTATTGTGAGAGAATTGAGTTCTCACAAGTGTGTTGAATTTACACAGAACTCGTCTGTGAAGAGAAGGAAATGTTATTGTTGTAAAACAATGTCATAGTCCAACTTCTTATTATTCTTTGTATATAAACTAGAAAAGGTACAAAAACAGTTTAATACCAAGTTCACACTGACATTTGAATAACTTAATTCGCCCTCTGAATTACAATAGCCAATTAACCCGTTTTTACGACACATGCGCAATTCGCCATGTTATTTTTTTATGATACAAAAATAAGTTCGTTACATTGTTTTAATAAATTAAGTAATATATTTTCTATTTATTTAAATCTTTGAAAAGCATTTGTTAGATGATACAAATTTTGTAGCTGAATTTTCGACCAGTTCCCGTAACTCAATTTGACTGAAACTTGGTACACATAAAGACACCTGAAGACAATGCAAATATACAGTTTCTAAAACTTTTAATATAAAATTGGATTTTACCACATTAATAAATAAACATTAACATAGCAACAACAAAAATAACAATTCACCACTCAATAAAAACAAGATTATTTTGAAAATCAGCTTGTTACGGTTTGTTAACTTTCTCTACACTTTGTTTACTTCACACCCAGAAACATATGGTTTATTAAAATAAAAATCTTATCTTGGGGATGTACCGAAAATTTCCAAGATATTTGTTTTTTTCTATATATTTTTATTCTTATTTATAATACTCAAACATTAATTGTCGTAATCATGATAACAGTACGGGACTTTAAAGAAAAAAATGAAACAAAAACAAATGAAGAAGATGAAGTGATAAAGCAGAAAGCTGCAACAGCCGACGATTCGAAAAACAAATTATCCGTCATAAACGTTGTGTCAGCAACGCAACGGACTGCAGCGATGGTACCATTAAGAAGATTTACTGTATTAAAACATGTAGCTCCCACAAAAGATAAAACGCCACGACCTTTGCCTGTAGTTGTGACAGCAGTACCGGGCGTAGGGAATGGCCAAGTCTACCAGCAACGTAAACGTATGCTACCCGAATATAAGGAATTGTTTGCAGCTTTAATGAAACTCCCAGATAAAGAAATACAAAATAAATTACTGGCTGTTATTAACAGTCATCATTCACCTACTAAATACAGAACTGTTGAAACGCAAACAGATCCAGTTGAAATCAAAGATTCATTATGTAAAGAAGCTGAAGAATTATCAATACGAGATACTGCCAATGGTAGTGGTAATGAAACACCTAATGGTAAAGATTCCAATACATCCGAAGAGATGGTGAAGAAAAGAAAACGAAAACGTAAGGTTTCTTTACCGCAAGCCAATAAAGAATCCCGCGCCAAGCAATTAGCAAAAATGAATAAACCCAAAACGTCGATGATGAATAATGGTGTCAATGCTACGGCAACGCTTTCGGCACAAAATGGACAGAGATTAAACTCACCGAAACGGCAACGTATCGATTCTTTTTCAATTTCAGAATGCAGTTCGGATATTGTAAATATATTTGATGATCATCAGACAAATATATTAATGGAAATTAATCAATCAAATATGCCATTCGAAAATGGTCTACTGTATGTATTATACCATATTAATGTTGTTTATTATAAAGTCGAATTTAAATTACATGTTATAGGCCAATACAGGATGCTGTTGCTAAAAATCAAACGAATAAGTTAAGTGTACATATTCGTATATGGCAGAATTATAGAGGTACGGATCTTAATGATATATTAACAGAAGAAGATGAGGTATGTATAAATATTGTATAATTTATTTATGTTTTCACTTACGATCTACCTATCTATCTATCTATCTATCTATCTATCTATCTATCTATCTATCTATCTATCTATCTATCTATCTATCTATCTATCTATCTATCTATCTATCTATCTATCTATATATCTATCTATCTATCTATCTATCTATCTATCTATCTATCTATCTATCTATATATATATATATATCTATATCTATCTATCTATATCTATCTGTCTATCTATCTATCTATCTATCTATCTATCTATCTATCTATCTATCTATCTATCTATCTATCTATCTATCTATCTATCTATCTATCTATCTATCTATCTATCTATCTATCTATCTATCTATCTATCTATCTATCTATCTATCTATCTATATCTATCTATCTATCTATCTATCTATCTATCTATCTATCTATCTATCTATCTATCTATCTATCTATCTATCTATCTATCTATCTATCTATCTATCTATCTATCTATCTATCTATCTATCTATCTATCTATCTATCTATCTATCTATCTATCTATCTATCTATCTATCTATCTATCTATCTATCTATCTATATATCTATCTATCTATCTATCTATCTATCTATCTATCTATCTATCTATATATCTATCTATCTATCTATCTATCTATCTATCTATCTATCTATCTATCTATCTATCTATCTATCTATCTATCTATCTATCTATCTATCTATCTATCTATCTATCTATCTATCTATCTATCTATCTATCTATCTATCTATCTATCTATCTATCTATCTATCTATCTATCTATCTATCTATCTATCTATCTATCTATCTATCTATCTATCTATCTATCTATCTATCTATCTATCTATCTATCTATCTATCTATCTATCTATCTATCTATCTATCTATCTATCTATCTATCTATCTATCTATCTATCTATCTATCTATCTATCTATCTATCTATCTATCTATCTATCTATCTATCTATCTATCTATCTATCTATCTATCTATCTATCTATCTATCTATCTATCTATCTATCTATCTATCTATCTATCTATCTATCTATCTATCTATCTATCTATCTATCTATCTATCTATCTATCTATCTATCTATCTATCTATCTATCTATCTATCTATCTATCTATCTATCTATCTATCTATCTATCTATCTATCTATCTATCTATTATCTACTATCTATCTATCTATCTATCTATCTATCTATCTATCTATCTATCTATCTATCTATCTATCTATACACCTATCTATACATACTTTTTTTCATATTTATATTCCAGGATTTATTACAATTGGCCGTTATCAACATGTGCGATCCTTCAATTATTAGTCTATTACTGGAAGAAGGCTTAAATCCCAATACTTTAGATGCTGAATCAAATACTATTGTACATTTAGCGATATTAAATGATATAACAGTAACGTCACTAGAACATTTAATGAAAAAAATTGAGTTAAAATTATTGCTTACACTAAATGATGACGGCTACACACCACTGCACTTGGCCATAAGACAAGATCGTTACCTATTAGCGGAATGCATGCTAAATATCTTAGATGAACGTCTAATGAAAAAAATATTTTATAAACGGCAACTAGATGAATTGGAAACAGATGAGAAAGTGTTGAAGAAACATTTTCATAATTATTATGAAAAGATATGCCTACAAATGGCCCTAGACGATGATACTAATACGGTTATAATTGATAATCATGATTTGAAACAGAAACTATTGCAAGCTGGTGATCGTAGAAGTGGGAATACAGTGTTATACTTTGCAATAGATAATCGATATGGTGAGCAAGAGTTGCAATGAAATGCTTAATTTTTTTTTGATTTTTGATTTTTATTACTTTATTTTCAGAACACTTAATTTATTTCCTATTAGCCCATTTAACAGATCCACGTACGGAAAATTTAAGTGGTCTTGATTGTAAATCATATTTTAGTGAATTTGGCAAATCTCTTAATTTAAGTTTAAATATTGATAATACTATGGAAAAGGTAATAAAGTTATTATCGTAGAAAATTTACCGAAAAAAATATATATCATCAGCCCCATTTATTATTACTTACATCAATTTTGGATAATTTCTTTAAATTTAAAGGTCTTAAAGATGGTGGCAACTTAGATGGTAACAACTTTTGTTTACGTTTAGTTATAGAATTCTGCCAAGGAAATTTCGCAATTTCTTTTGCTGTTGATGAACGTTTGGGGTTATTTGTTGTAAGACCTCTGTAATCTGTTGTAGTGATTTTATTTTCTATCATGTCTTTTAATTGTTTTAATTGCGTTTCGTTGAAATGCGTATATTGGCAGTATAAATCATATTTGCAATAGCTTTTAAAATATCGTGTACATGGTTGTTTGACGATTTCCTCTTCATAAATCTTTCGAGGATCTGGGAAATAGACAATTTATTTAAAAATGTTAAACAGTTTTGATTATGTTTTAGGTTTTGAAGAAAAATTAACTATACTTTATGAATATAATTAAAAGTCTCATAAAGCAGCAGTCCATCCATGAATTGTTATGATTCTTTTCTTACCTTCATACTTCCTCATAATAGACGTTTTTATAATTTTGTGCGCTAAACCTTCATTGTGAGTTTTACGTACATTTTTATCATTTTTCATATAACAGCGACAATAATCACAAAAATAACTTTTACCACCCATTTCGATCCATTTGTTTATTGTTTATTTTAAATAAACAATTCGCACAAGCGAATTATGACAATTCGCCACAAAGACAGACAAACAGCTGATATCTGATTACTGTCGGCGTCTGATACAGAGATACAAGCCGATGCAAAATGATCGGCGGCGGCGGCGCAACCATTTTAGGTCGGCGGCTGCGGCTTATTGTAGAAAATATCGGCGGCGGCTAAATTGTCGGCTCAATCTAACTTTTTCTTCAGAAATTGACCTTATAAGCGTTTGTTATATTGAAAAATCTCTGTATAATAGTCTGTTATATAGAAACCTGCCTCTATATAAGTTTTTTCTGCAGAAAATGAACATTATTATAGTAGTTATCACTATTTTAATATTAGCACAATACTGTGTGGCAACTCTTTTGAATTTGCCATAAGAATTTAAAAAAGTGGCAACTCTGTTCAAATTGGTGAAATTATTTTCGGAAAGACATGTGCGATTCCAATCTTTATCAGCGGCTACGTTTAAGCCGGCTTAGCTTTTGAGCCGAAAGAAGTCGGCGGCGGCGCGGATTGTTAAATATTACCGGCGGCCAGCCGCCGCCGATTTGAGCCGTCTCGGCTTGTATCTCTGGTCTGATACTATGAATCAAGGCGAATTCATATAAGGTGGTGTTATTCAATCAGCTGATAATTTTTTTCTTAATTCGCCTGGTTTACGTAGCTGTCAAAGTTTGTTATTGTTTACATTTTTATATTTAAAAATGTCCGTTAAACGGAGAAAAACTTCGTTAAAAATTTGAATTTATGTAAAAAATCTGAAAATACCAAGCATCTCGTAAACAAATATCATTTTATTTAAATAATGGCATAATTGGTATGTATACAAATATGTTATTTAAGAAAAATATTTTTTTCTATTAAATGTTAACATATTACACAATATTGTTTTATATTTTATATTAAAATTGTGTAGATAACGTGATTTACTAAAAAAAATCTCTTACGGAACACTTAATATTAAGAAACCCATATGAAGTATTTACCCGGCTGGCGGCAGCTGACTTCTACGTTATGGCTTAATTTTTAAATCTATTAAATGTTAACAAATTAAACAATATTGTTTTATATATACCATACATGGGAATTTTTCATTAAGCATTAAAATTTCATTACCATTTATAGAAAAAATTGTAATGAAAAATATTTTAAGTACCATTTAATGAAAATTATATTTTTTTCATTATAACTTTTTTGATAATGGTAATGAATTTGATAATGAATTTTCAAAAACGAATTTAATTAGTATTTATAATTGTCGAAAAATATATTAAGGAAAATTTTTCGAAGATTCGAGATTTGAAAGCTTTTAAAAACCAGTTCCCGTAGCCCAAATTGGCTGAAATTTTGCAGTCATAAGTACATCTGATGACAATACAATAATATGTTCGAATATTCAAAATTAAGTTCGAAAATTCGAAGTTATTTTCGAAAATTTTTTTATGTTTTTAAATTAATCTCTGTGTCATAAAACCTAAAAAAAATTTCGAAAATTCGAACTCGTGTTCGAAAAATTTTTAAAGCTGTTAAAACTAGTTCTTCTAGTCCGAATGTGCTGAAATTTGGCATACATGATTTCACCTAATGACAATACATTATAATGTTCGGATATTCGAAATTAATTTCGAAATTCGAACGAATGTTCGAAATTTTTTAAAATCCATTGAATAATGGTAATGAAAATTTATTTTTAAATAATTACTAATGAAATCGTTTCATTAAAAACCATTACCATTAAACAAAATAATGCTAATGAAATCGTCAATTAATTAGTCGATATAATTAACTACTCCCCATGGGAGTATATATACACTATGTAGGGAGTGATATATACACTATGTAGATAAAGAGATTAATTAAAAAAAGTCTGTTCCGGAACGCTTTATATAACAAAACCCATATACATTATGGCCAAATATTGAAAATTACTCCGCCGGAGTATAATTATCCATTCGCAACAAATATTCATTCATTCGTAATATAATATTTTCATGAATATGTACTTTTTTATGTTTATTTTTCACAAAAAATTAAGTTTTACTTAACTTCAGGCACTCACTTAAATTTTGCAAATTAATCCGCAGGAGTAGAATTTTTCGTTTGAAACAAACATTCAATTCAGAATATATTTTCCTCACAAATTTTAATAAATTTATCTTTTCTTTTTAATAAAATATAAACATTTAACAAAAAATTTTCATGAAATGAATTCGCCGTACTTATGGTTTTTGACATCTTCGTAAACCAAATGCAAAAACAAAATTCATGTAAAATGTTGTTGTTGCTGTACTGTCACCACCTTATCTGAATTCGCCTTGCTATGAATTTTACCCCGCAATTACACAGAAAAAACTGAAAAAACGATTTCAATTACCAAAACCTCGTTTTCAATTATGTTATTTATTGAAGTTCAACCTATAACAAAAAATATATATTCAATTACTACTTATAATTGATTTAGTATAACAAATTTTTATTTTTTTATATTTTTGTTGTTGTTAAATACGTATTTGATTATACATTTTTATGATCGAAAATTTAAAGAAAAAAATTTCTTAAAAAAAAATTCTCTTTCTAAATATGTTTGGAAATTCTTTATTAGAAAATTTTGGAAAAATTCATTTTAAGAAAATTTAAAAAGTTCTCCTTTGGAAAGTTTTTGGAAATTTCTTCTGCAGAAACCTTGAAGTTGAATTTTCTTTTAAAAGATTTTATAAAATTAACCATGTATGCATAGGGTATTCACTATTTAGTTGCAATTTTTCAATATTAACAAGATTATTATATTCTAGGAATCTGTTTATATTTCACAGTCAAAAATTATCAATATGAACGAAATTCGGATTTGGATGAAATATCCCATAGAACAGAGAAACAAAATTGTTATAATTTTTAGTTAATAGTTCAACAAATTACACAAAATTTATTATACCCTACACCACTATAGTGGGGAGGGTATTATACGTTTGTGCTGATGTTTGTAACACACAAAAATATTGGTCCTACACCCACCTTTAAGTATACCGATCGACTCAGAATCACATTTTGAGTCGATTAAGACATGTCCGTCCGTCCGTCCGTCTGTCCGGCTGGCTGGCTGGCTGTCCATGTAAACCTTGTGCGCAAGGTACAGGCCGCATTTTTCAAGATAATTTGATGAAATTTGGACCAGGCATGTTTTTTGGCACAAGGACGAAGCCTATTGAAAATGGTTGAAATCGGTCCATTATTTCACCTAGCCCCCATACAACCGTACCTCCCGATTTGGTCTTTTTATGCCATAATTACGTCAAATATGCTATTATCTCTCTAAAAATTGGCACAAATAAGTTTTGTATAAGTATAAATGACACTGCAGATTTTCGTAATGATCGGCCCTTATTTGACCCTAGCCCCCATACAAACCCCCCTTCAAAAAATGTCTTAAACGTCTAAAACTGACTTGTAACCATTTGTATCGCAATGAAACTCAACATAATTAACTATTATTTAACAATATATCCTTTTCCCAAATTTAATGAGGATCGGCCCATGTTTGACCTATACTACTATATAAAGCCTCATTTAGAAAATTTGTTTTTTATCAATAAATTGCTTAAATACTTTGGAATTAAGGTAAAATTCAACATAAAAGTTTCTTTGTGAAAAATATAAATTTTTAAAATATACTCATGGTGTAGGGTATTATATGGTCGGCCATGCCCGACTATACTTTCCTACTTGTTTTTCATTTCATTCGCATATAAAAAACTGTTTTACCTACTTAAATTTGTATCAGTACCTTAGTGATTACTAATTACTTTTTTCTGTGAAAGTAGTCAACTAATTTTTAACTCCCTTTTAAAAACAACTCTGTGTGAAAAAGCAAAGAAGAAAAAAGAAATCAATTTTTTCATTTCTCAAAGAATTTTACTAATCGTGTCAATTTTTCTTGTTTAAATACATTTGAAATTAATAATAATATTTAAAGGCTATAAAATAATAAACAATAAACTTAAAGTTACAAAAGTTTTTAGTTAAAAGAATAAAAATTGTGAAATATTAGAGTTAAAAATCAAATTTAAAACTTTCAACATGGATCGCCGTAAGTCGCCATTTTTTATTGTTAAATGTTCTAAAATTTGCCCTAGAACTAAATAAAATCTTTAAAGCAAAAAATACAAATAAATGGAGTAAATAATACATACATTTTGTGTAATTTTGAAGTTTTATGAATGGAATAACTTATTAAAAAGTTAAGAAATTAATTGCATTATTTTCATACCCTACTTTAGTATCAGTGGGCAGGTTATTATGAGTTTGTGCTGACGTCTGTAGCGCACACTAATATTGTTTCATTAAATATTTTAAAGCATACTTACTACGAGATTTCGAAACATTTCCAGCTTCGATTTAAATGTTTCTCCTATTTGCTCCTTATTTCCAATATAATATTTGGCAGATGTCCCTGTTAGTATTTTGGTCTAGGAAGAACCACATGAAACTGGTTAAAATCGGTCCATTATTTTATCTCGTCTCCATATAACAGGACCACCGGAATAGTTTAGAACTCAATAATCATCTAAACAAAGTTGCCAAATAAATTTCCAATTTTGGAAACGATCTGTCCATAACGCAAATATGTATAAATACTGAGATGAAATTGTCCAAAAACCAGTTTTTTATGTCTAAAAATTTTCTGCAGATCGACCCTTAACGGGTTTCAGAATCAAGTTTTTCCCTACTGACTGTAATTTTGGGTTCTTCGATATCATAAAGATGAAATAATTTATCTGGTAAGGATTTTATTAAACAATTTTATATCATAATCTAGGTTCACGCAGTATATCACCACGACGTTATCGTAATGGCGGTAATGGTGGTGGAGGAGGATACCGCCGTTATAGTCGTTCTCGTTCAAGATCAAGGTACATTTTGTTTTATTTATATGGATTTTTTAATGTTTTTTTTTCTCTATTATAATTAAATAAAATTTGGCTTAAATATATTATAGGTATAACTCTCCGATCTTGAAAAAATTTATACCACATATAAAGCTTTCAATTCTATGACTTGTGA